TCCGATGGCTAAGTTTCTTCGTTCATTTTTTCTTTCCTATTTAATGCCGTAGTACCTTCTGGAAAGATGATAAGCGGTACTGAGGCCAGTTTTTTAAAAAAACTTAAGTGACAAATTCGTCTTAAGTCAAATTTTTTAGCTAAGTGCGTTTCTCAAACATTACTTAACTTCAGTCAACTCTCGATTTCACTTAAATTTTCACTGAAACTTTTAAGTAGAAAATTGTTTAAATTTTGTAACTTCTTTATCTCAAGTCAGTAGTCCTTCGAATCCACCATAATTAGACTGAACATAATTTTTTAGAGATTTTGTTCGGAAAATTGCCGTAAAATAATCTAAGTTGTCTAAAATACGAATGGTTTTTAGTGCATGATCGTTGTCTGACATAAATTTTTTTAAGAAACTGGTCCCTGATCTTGTTGTTTGATTTAGACCAGGTTTACGCGTTATAATTTGTAACGATTTTCTTATCAATAAGCGATAACCATTTGAATAATTGAATAATATTGTCCATATCAGCCCAATTCATATGATGTTTATTATCACGTTCGTGAAAATGCGCTTATTGATAAGAGAGTCGTTACAAATTATAACACATAAACCTAATCTGAATGAAACAACAAGATCAGTACTGCTTATCATCTTTCCAGAAGGTTCTATGCCATTAAATAGTAAAGAAAAAAAAATAAAAATAAACGAAAAAATTGAGTCATCGGACACTATACATTATAAAACACTGTTTTGTTTACTTATTTATTTTACTAACGTTTTTTCTGTGTAAAACTTTTTAGATCGATTGTAGACATGTTTTCCTGATGATGCAATTATAAACTGCGAATGCTCGAATAAATTAGAAAGAAAAAAGATTAAAGAATGAAACTTTTATTTGCTGTTAAATATATTCGGTTTAGACTCAAAACATTACCCATACAACATAATAATTATGATAATTATTCTTTTACAATGTATTTAAGGCAAAGTAATACTGTCCGTCTGATAATCACAAAAAGCAGCACTTTTTTTTGTTAACTCTTAGATTATTACTGTATTCTTTATATTTTTAAGCTTTATGTTCTCAACCACTTTTTTAATTAAAGAAATTGAATGTTGAAAACAAACATACGCAACAAGTGCTCCCTTTTTCCGCACTTGAAATAGAAAAAAAAGTTATAAACTTCTTTTTCTTTTGTGCTTTTCAATAATAAATAATAGCATGAAACAAAGGAGAAGGAAAACGACTTATGATAGTGTCTCAATTTCTTAATTCTCAAAGAAATGAATTTTTTGTCGGATCTTTCTATCAAATTCAATTAAATGTGTTCTACAAATAAGGCATGTACCGGTTAGTTTATTGAAACTCTCGGGGGTAGTAGTTTTAAAATTTAGAGAACGTTTTAAAATTTTTTCGATTCGACAATTTTGTGCACAAATGTTTGCTTTACAAAATAAGACATTGCAGACTTTCTCATGAAGGTTCATCAATGAGGTATGCAAACGCTTTGTGCACAAAACTGTTGACTCGAAAAAATTTTAAAATGTTTCTCTGATTTTTAAAACTACTACTCTCGAGAGCCCCAATAAAATAATCAGTGCATGCCTACTACACATAGTGTTCAATGTGTAATGAGTGCATAAATAATTAGAAACAAACAATAGACGGGTTTTTTTTTGTTATATACAACAACAATTCGCTAATCACTCAGTAAACATCAGAATGACTTCAAAATTTTCAGGATATGGTTAATTTCCTCCGCTAAACCTGATCGTACAATCGAAAAATTACAAAAGGCATAGTTTTGGAGCTCGGTTTTACAGAAAACCTTTTGTAATACCGTAGGGTTTTGTGAGATTTCGTTTTAGATTTCCTATAAACAGGATAAAGAATAGCTTAAATACTCCACATTCTGAAATCTTGAAGTCGTTCTGATGTTTACTGAGTGATTAGCGAATTCTTTAATACTAGGTGAAAACACAAATTTTCGTAAAACTCGCTTTTCGGTAGAATTTTAAAACTTTTCTAAAAACAAATATTGCCACGAGGCGCATCGTGGTCGATTACGCATAGTTCATCCGTCTTGAAGGCTACCAATCGCCACTGGGTGCCAGTCCTGGGATTCGTACGAAATTCGATACAACCCGAAGCGTGGAAAATCAAGGTCTCACTTGACTCTCAATTTGAAAAGGGCACCCTGGGCTATCAGTCTGTGAAAACAAATCAATACAATCCTATTGGAAAATTTTTACACGCGAGCTAATTTTCCAAAGATCCCCTGAAAAAACTGTTCCAGAAAGCTCTCCTGGGAAAATTTTTGGTTATGAAAACATGTCCCCAAATCTCCTCTTTCGAATGGTAAAAATTGAAGCTCTTTAGCTTTTTCCTATCGAAAGTTATTCAAAAAACAGTCGTATACCATTCTTTTTTTGGATGGACAATAGCATAATATCATTAAAAACGGAGTGAACATCTGAACATCTTGCCTCGTTAGTGAACGCAGTATTTCAACTGAAAATTCCAGTAGAGTTAACCTTTCAACGAGTAATACAAAATTGAAATTATTATCTATATTATAAATTGGGCCGCAAAATGTCCAACCCGAACCCTCACCGACCCGTCGGGTTGCGGGTCTCTAGTGCAGGTCAATGTGAGAGATTTAGATAGTGAATTTTATCGGATTATTTTACAGACAAATTACAGTATATTTTCTGATTTTACTCAAAATTTCCTTTACTTATGTGTCTTGATAATAAGAGTTGAACTCTCGAAACGTTGACTTCAAAATAAAATGAAGATAATTTTGATTAATAAATTTAAAGCTGCTCTAAAAATGATTCAATTTCTATAAATTGAGAGATAAACGTTCATTACGAATTTTCTGATCATTAGAAAATTGCTAACCTCCTGCTGGCCCAGCTCCAAGTGCTCCAAAAAAACAACCGGCAACAAGTATACCAACAATGGCACCATCAATATGACTCGGTAATTGCTGTCTTTTAATAGCTTCCTTTCCACCAAAATAATATAGAAAATCTTTCATTACCAAAATACCACTAACAACACCAATATCGTATCCAAATAGCAGACCACCAATTGCTGCAAAACTACCAATTAAATACACCTGAAAATTGGACGACATTACTCTTAAAAAAAGAAAAAAAGGGTTTTTCGTGTTCGATAAGATTTGCTAATGTCTACTGTAATGTTTGTCGAAACTGACAATTTTTAAGAAACACAAATGGCTATGCATATTTAATAGAATTTTACTCATCCAGCTAAGAATACTTCGTATACAGAGAAAACATCTTCAGACAATACAAACGGTTTTACTTGAAATTCCAAGCTAAACATTTTAGAAGAAAAAATAATAAGTTGTGCCTATTGATTGTGTTAATTCAAATATTATCTCCTGTTTGATTTCCTACATGTGTACGCTCGTACACACAGCAAGATTGAAATATAGATAAAAATCATTACATCGTATTTTGTTACTATGAAGTAATAAAACCTTCAAATAATGATCGTTGTTAATATGTTTTTTTACGAAGAAGAAACGAAAGAGAAACAAAAAGAAAAGTGTAGTGTTTCTATAACATATACATTGAACTGTAAAATAACTCAAAATTCAGCATGAAACTGCTTAGATTCTGGCTCTGAGATAAGTTCCTTTGCTAAAACAACTATTCTATGAGTACAGAATACATTAAGGTCGATATCACAATCACCACAGATTTCTTTTTGTTTGGTTAAAAAGGCACGAAACAGATGACAGCACATCGTTTTTTTCTATTTGTTTGCACTCAATGGATTAAAATCCAACGAATTACATACCTAGAAAGAACACATTTAATTTTTTAAGTTATTGTTCTGCGGAAAACTTCAAAACACTAACTCAGAACTGACGATGAAGAAGATTGTGGCGCCAATCTTCCACATGAAACCTGAATGAAAAATCTCGATAAAAATTAAACATAAAGCATGTGGGGTGAATTCTTGGTAAATCAGTCAGATTTTATTTAAGTTAAACCCTCTCCACCCTCTACAGCAGAAATTTCCACATAAGAAATCTATCGCGGTAACTATAAGTCTAATGTGAGCAAAAATTTCAGGAAATGTTGGGCTGACCCGCTACATTGTATCAGGCGCTGATGAAGTTCGATAAACCAGATGGTCAAGCGGGGTCTGATGATAGAAAACAAATAACTGTTCAAAAGGCGACAGGTAGTGTCAAACGGTTTAATATTAAGAGTGGTTTTAGTTTCATTTACAGCTAGATACTTAGAAATTTCATAACGACAAATTGAGACGAGAACAATGGCAGATCAGACAAGAACTTATGTTATAAGCAATCAATGATGTTATAGCAGTGTGATTTATCATGATTCATCGGAAATTACGCAACTTGAACAAGGAGCGAGGTCGTCAATGTTCAGCCGTTAACTCGCTAATATCAACAACAGTTGTAATACCATCTGAAAACAGAATAAACAGAACCGTGAATAAAGGTACAGTATTTTACACTCCAGTAACAGACCCAGTATCACCAACATCCGATTTTGAAGTCCAGGAAAAATTAACAGTAGTAAATCACGCAACTGAAATAGTGGAATTATCAGTACCACCAGTAATGGCATAACGAATTCCTGTCATAGCAACAGCATTACAAAATACAGAAAACACACCTATAGATTTGGGCGAACTGCCGGTAGGGGACCGGGTTTCTTCCGGCTCCAAGGATGTGCCAGATTTAACTATAGTACCGCCTGGTGAAAATCAACCCCGTAATAGTATTGCAATACAAAAACGACCGTCATATCTCATTCTCGCCGACAGCCACCTTAAACATCTACCAGAACGTCTCCGACAGCCGAACTATGACGTTGATTTTAAAATTGTGCGAGGTGCTGAATGGATTAATCAATACGCTCCAAAATTATCCATACAATCAATTATTAGTCTACGTGAAATTATTGAAGCAGTTTCTTCGTCGGTGGGAATTGAATTTGTAATAGGAACGAGCACCTTACGTCATACACCATTCCATGAAGCCATTGAACAAGCTAAGTATATTATAACAGTACTTCATAGTTATCATCCACAATTATTATCATCACAATATCTTCATAATCCATTGCTTCCTTTGTTTTCGCGTATCTAGAAGATTTGATGAAAAACAGCTGGTGAAAAGCATATATCGATATAATAATGAACTAAACAACCTGGCTGATGAATCAAAATTTAAAACTATTAATTGTGGAATTACGATAAATGACATAGCATGTGATAAAATGCATGTTAGGGACGCATCAAAACATCTTATCATTCATTCAATTTTGATCACCTTTCGTCAACATTACAACCTATCCATAATCATTCCCATTCCCCATCGCTAGTATCAATCCTATCGTGTTTGTCGACATCCTCACATCTACTCCATCAATTACCAGCTCTTGTACCACATGAAAATAAGACAAATCGTCAATCTATGCACTATATAAAGATGAAGAATATTGAGAGTTCGCGAAAATACTATCAGAAAGATTCCAATATATGTATAGAACGCCCAATTTATTTTAAATTCAAAGTCAAAACATTGAGAACAGTGTTAAAAAACATCAATTTACGACCAAGGAAAGTGGAAAAGACATTAATTAATGGTGAATGGACAGTCCGTATTGGTCTAGATTCCCAATAGCAACGACAAATATATGAAGATCGCATTAGCACTAACGTGTTTACCCACGGACATTATATGCAGTTACCTGAAAAAGATTAACTGAAAATAGTTAAGACTTAATGTGCTCTTAATTCCTTTCTATCTTTGCTGTATGTAATTATTTCGAGGCATTGAGCCGTACGTTCTGCATTGTAAAACTCTTGGGAGGGTGGGAGTATTATGCCTAGCAACTAACTTGACACAAAGCACTAGTTCTGTCTTTTCTTTTACGTGAAGTCCTTGTTACCATATAGAAAAGACAAATATATTTTCGTCTGATTCACAGGGCGAGGATTTTTCTGTGCACGATTTTTTCCAGAATTATCCACGGTTTGCTGTTTTCCGTGCACTAAAACGTCTTTTGACTTTCATGTGCACAGTTACAGAAAGGTGCACGGAGATGTTTCTATGCACGGTTTTTGAAGAACAAGGTTAATCTGTACCCTGTCGTTTGATTATTAAATCCTTTTTAGCCAGACATATATAGCATGTAGCTATTTACAAATAAAAATCCTCTTTTAGTATTTCTATCAAATTTATGACCGACTTAATGCTTTTCCTGCTTTTTTTGGACGTCCACGCCTTTTTCCTAACACTTGTAATTTAGCTGGATTAGCTATAACATAAAGATTAAGATGAATCATAAATCCTACTGCATGTTTACAAGCATATTGTTTAAGGTTTTGTTTACATGAACACATCATTGGCATACTAACAAGTCGCGCAGAGTATAACCACCTTGTAAATCCATCAAATGTTAACCAAGGCATAAAATGATACTATTGTAGCCATGCATATGTATCCATTTGTGGAGACAATCATGGTACGATGTAAGATTGTCCATACCAATGAAATACAGGATTTTTATCAATATTTTGTAACCATTGCCAGACTTCTCGTTCTTGTGAAACACTAACTGTTGGAAATGTTGCAAATCCAGTTTGAGTAGATTTATTTGACCAAAAGGCATAAAGGCATGAAGATTCGTATGTTGTCTCTATTTTGATAATAGAAGAGTCGTACCTTTTTGAAATAATTGATCATTAAATAGGAAACGGGAAAGAACAAGGTATCGGAACGAGAATCGGCCCCATTTCAGATCTTTCCGAAAGGTGTTTAGAATCAAAGAGCATGTGATTTTATACTGTTCCAGACACCTGGTTTTCCTACGGATCTGATATCTGTGAGAAAATTTGATTTGATATCTGTTCCTGAAATCTGCTCGCATTGCAAAGTTATTCAAAGAGGCGATGGGTATCTTATTTTTTGAATCCGATAATAGAAATGTTTTAAGTAATGCTATCTAGAGTGATATTCACGTCTGCGCGAAAAATCAGCAATTTTGATTGTAGTTTATCCAAATTTTGAAAACCAGCACAGTAACAATATATATATAATATTACCATTGTAAACGAAACTATGAATTTGGTTGGAACTGTGCCAATTTGTACGATGCAGAACATATGGAAAATGAAACACATCCATTTAACAAACTATGTCTGCGCACACCATATTCTTGCGAAGATATCAAATTTTTACAATTCAACAAGGGCACAGGAGATAAGCGCAAGTATGATGCATTAGAAAAACATTTACTCGATTTTTCCTATGTTTTTTTCTATAGGGGTAAATTGTCATGACACAAGCGGTAGGCATCTACGAGACAGGATACATACTGTTCGAAAAATGTGTCCAAATAAAGATAAATGTAGAAAATTGTCCAATGATGAACATTTAAAGTGCTATTCTCATCTCAACATCCGAAATATTCATCTGCTCTGTCATTTTCCATATACTTCTGTAATGATCGTTTTAACGAAGAACATTATACAAACTATCGTCGTCTGCGTGTTGTCAGATACTTCGGTCTAAATGACTCGATCGATTTCATCGAGAATCAAAAAGATATCGTACAAACTATGTATCAACATCTTGGAAAGGATGTTAAAGTGACAGACGACATTCTAAATTAAATTCGTTTGTTGCAACCGGCACATCGATGTAATCGAGAAATCAAGCATCCGTTGTTCATGGTTGCGTTATGAATCATGGTCATATGCATCTTTAAAACGTGCAAGATTCACGGTTCATTCTGCTTTTGAGCATAATTGTATTCGACAAATTGTTGATCGTCGTGGCCTCATACGTAGAAGGACTGGTAGGAGTTCAGTTCCGTTCATCCTCGGGAAATCTGGATTTCTGAACTCTTTTATACCAGATATATACATATGTACAGCGTGAGCAAACAGTAATTGTACGCCAGTGTAATTGCATAAATGAGCAAAATTCGTCCGTGTGATTTCATGCATCTGTGAAAAATCACAAGCTGAGAATCTTCAGATTTCATTTCTTCAAATTAGACTTTTCAGAACTCCGTTTGCATGTGTGTTATTTTTTGTGCACTAAACTATGACCCATACGGATATTTTTTATTGAGCAAAATACGTCCATTTGATGTCCTCTTATAACACATTTGTTTGTGCAGTATATGATCTCTTGTAACCACGACTTAACAATAACGGTTGCGGCATAAAGAATTGACCATCTCGTATCCTGTTTCTTTAGGACTCCAAGGTTGGTGTTCTTTTCAAAAGATGCCCTTCAGTACTTCATTTTTTGTCTTTCATATAATTTGAACAGTTTTCTTGACTGAAGTTCTGAAATTAAAATTTAGGTATGCCTTTGCAGAATATTTCGCGGAGCATCTTTTGAAAAAAACATCAACAGTAGGGTGCTAAAGAAACACGAGAAAAATAGAAAATACTAAATAATCCTTTCTTTATACCGAAACCGTTAAGATTTTCAAATAATTTCAGTTTTTGCGGGATGGGTTTGGTTCTCGCTTTCGGACTGGCGATAAATTCATAGCGACCTTGTCAGGTGCATCCTATCGTACTTGGGAGTAGAGACATGGAGCAGGGCTGAGAACAGCGCAAGAGTTCTTGTTCAAGAAGAACAAGTTTATGACGGTTTGAAATTAAAGTTTTCGATGTCACGATCGTATTTTCCATTGTATTTTATAGTTAGATACATCATTGCTACATTTTTCTGGAAAACTTTCACAGAACAAGATACGGGAGCTGAAACTAGTGGTCTTGCATGCCTGTGTTCGAGTGACGAAACTATAGTCCTTCCAGAAACGTTATTTAAAAAGTACCGAAAAGGTAGCAGTAGTTAATTTCATATATATAGAAATAAGTAAAAAATAATAATAATATACTGTGTGAACGCACTGTAGACACTTAAAATAAGTATCACATTAGAAAAAATACAGAAATATCATGGTCCTTTCAGTCCCCTCTTCAGAAAGGTAACCGTCCTGTTAATATAACCGCGAAGGTAGGATGCCTCAAATCACTAGTGAATATAGAAGACGGTGGAAGGGAGAACAGGAGTGAAAACTTGGTTCCTAACGTCGTCTTTTGGTTTTGATCGACGCCCTGATGGATACGAGTCTGTATCGAAATCAAATGTCTCCTTAAGGGGAACAAATGTAACAGTTAGAGGTAGAGTCTTAGCATGAGATACAAGTAGAGAATTTAGATTAAAGAGATTACGAAAATTCAGTCTTCAAATTGAGGATAATCAGGTTTACTAAAATATTGCCCTGTTTCAAGTTTATGTGCAATTGTGATAACCGACAGTTATTATTTACAACACTTGAAAAGAAATTTTTTAGTCGTATTTCTTTCTGTTTCTGTTTTGGCTTTTTCTTAGTGTTTGCTTTGTACTGAAAAGAATAAATCTATAGAACAGAACTCAAGTCGAATTGAATTTTGATGATAAATATAGAGCAGAAAAAAATTGTTTCATTCAGATAATGTGTAGAAGCCCCACAGAAGACATCACATGCGATTGCTGTGTTTCTTTGATAAACATTAATAAATATTGTATTATGTCTAAGGTAAATTGTTTGAGTTATTTTAATAAAGGTCACTGGAATAGTATTGATAAACGAAAAAAGCGAAAGAAGTCTGATGGATTCGATAAGCGAATTTGAGTCAAAATGAATTCTCTGAAATTTTTTCATTGTAACTGATAACGGTTAAAAACAGATAAATCTTAACTTTTATTTCTATTTTGTATTAGATAAAATGAGAAAGATGATGATTTCAAAGAAATTCTTTTAAGTTTTTTCTGAAAAGAATCTGAAAAGTTAGTCAAAGCATTATGTATTTTTTCGATCAAAATCCAAACTCCATTTGAAATCGGACACATGTGGGGTGTTTCATTTAGCATGATGTTGAAAGACAATAAAATTAAAATTTGCATTAGGACGTTGACGAAATCGGTTGAAAAATATGAAATATTTTTGAGTTATGAAATCTCAGCCTTCCATAAATTTAGTTCCGTACCTTTCTGTTGTTTCACATGCTGTCTTTTCTTAGATGAAATATTATTCCATTTTGAAAATGTCATGATCGTTTGCGGTTTTCATATCC